TGTGTGTGTGTGTGTGTGTGTGTGTGTGTGTGTGTGTGTGATGATAATTATAAATTGCAATATAAATTATATAAAACATTAAATACTATCAGTAATATACATTTATATACATTGGCCAGCCTACTTTCTTGACATCAGATCAACAGTGGCCATGGAAAATGACCACTTCTATCAAACTATCTTCAAATGACATTAAAAGAACATTAGTATATCTCTTTGCATGATGGTGAAATGGCCTACATTCATGCCTATTTCATATGGCTGCTGTGTGCCAGCTTAATTTGAATCCCGTCGTGCACTAAAATTACATGAAGTGTTTAATATTTCACAATGCCGTAGTACACGTTACGTCTCTCTCTCTCTTTCTCTCTTTTTGCGCTGAGACAGATGTGTGTAATTACAGTAGTTTGAATTATTGATTAGAGGATTTCCTCACACACATTACTTTTCCTGCATCCCTGCAGAGCTCTCCTCCTCTTCACTGTCATTTTCTGTGGCCTGAGGCTGTCCCTTCAGCTGCCGGGAGTTTTAACGGAGAAATTGTAGACACTTAGCTCTAACTGCATTGTGGCATGATGCCTACATGCATGTACATGCAGACTGACATGCAAAACTAACTTGAATGACGTACTCCCTATAATATCCAGCACTGCGAGAGCATGTGAATTTGTGTGTGCATGTAACTCAGATTCACTGTGATTCTTCATTACTGTGAAAGTAGCTTTAGAAAGCTCTGTTTCCACCGTCAGAAAGTCGGCAGGCAGCAGAATCCATCCACTCAACTGATCTAACACGAATTTTGTTAGCACATGTTGCAAAACTCTACTGCGTCTCATGTGAGATTCTCTTGATAGCCAGGCTGCTTTGCATCGAATGCGTGTGCAAGAACTTGCCAGAGGAGAATGGATATGACAGTCGAGACTAAATCTTCTTAGTTTTGGGCCAGACCAGCTGGAGAGGAACATACTACAATCTGAGATACTCCTGTACCTGCTGAGATAAGTTAAAAAAGACTGGCAACTCAATCTGAAGTCCTGCTGGTAGAAACATGTCAGATACATGTGGGCCAAAAAGACTCTCTTAGATCTATGTGCTTTTGGAAGAAATATTTTATTTGATTGTTTTGATATGTTCAAATGACATTAAACATTTTTTTGCATATACAGTATATAAATATTATTATAATTTTAAATATATTTATTTTACATATATAACTATATTTTTAATATAATTTTATTGTATAAAATGTTCATTGATAATTTTACATATTTGGATTCTGCCACTCTCACAAACTTTCATCTCACAATTTCTTGCCTTTTTTCGCACTTTCTCTTCCATTTCTTCAGCTGTCTGTCTGCAAGAAGGCATGTTTAATCTATCGTATGTCCATATGGGTCATAACTAGGGTACAGATGTCTACCATCCTGTTTAACCATCAATTATGAGCTGTCAGTCAGAGGGCAACCGAGGCAGTGTAATGGTTCATTCAACCAAAATCACTCTGACTGATGAGTTGAAAAATATGACGCTGCCAATCACCCAAAAACTGTTCACTTTTAGACTAATGAAACATGATGGAAGTTTTTGATGGACCGATTTTCTTGGCTTTGCCTTGTGTTTTCATTAGAACATGTCTTTAGGCTGTGGCGTGCCTTTAAGAGGCAGCGCTGGTCTTAATAAAGGCCTGTGGTGTGGTGTGTGTCTGTCTCACTGGGTCGCGTTGATTGGCTCTTTTGAAACACGGTTGTAATTTAGGGATTTCCTGTGAGGACGGCGGACAAGATTTTGGGGGACGGCAGCAGTTGATAAGGCATTACCATTGCTATTAGCAGACAAAGAGATTTAATCAAAGGAACAAGGGCTTCATTCTCATTCTCTGATTACTAGGCTTCTCAAACCCCCCTCTTTCCCCTCACTGTTTTTTTCCTTCCCCTTGTCTTTTGTGTTTGTTTTCTGCCATCTCTCATTTTCATCTGTTTGAGTGATTTTGACTCGCAGCTCCCACAGACGGCAGACATACGTCACAGGATAATCACAGAGCCAGAGAGGCTTTGTCAGAGAGAACAAGTTGTTGTGGGTGAATCTCACAAAACACGTCCATGTTTCACTCCAAAAGCAACAGAAAAAATACACTGTAAAAATGATATGATCAGTAAGTCATGGCAAGTTATTTAACTCATCAAAATAAGTTGAGTGACTTCAGCTTTTTTGTATAAGTTATATGACATTCAAATTGATTTTTTAAGTCTGTTTAATGTAATTTAAGTTAAAATGACTTGTACAACCAAGTTGATCATATTTAAAATGTAAGGCAATAAGGATTTTTTTTTTACAGTGAATGCAAAAGATATATTTTGACTAAGAAAATTAAGACTATTTGCATTGTAAAAAAGTCTGATAAGAATTTTTTTATATGTTTTTGAAAGAAATCTCTTATGCTAACCAAGGCTGCATTTATTTGATTAAAAATACTGTAAAACAGTAATATTGTGAAATAGTTTTACAATTTAAAATAACTGTTGTTTTTTTAATATATTTTAAAATGTAATTTATTCCTGTGATGCAAATCTGAATTTTCAGCATCATTACTCCAGTCTTCAGTGTCATATGATCCTTCAGAAATCATTCGAATATGCTGATTTGATGCTCAAGAAAACATGTATTATTATTATTAATGTTGAAAACTGTTTTAGTGCTTAATGTTTTTGTTGAAACTGTGATACATTTTATCAGGATTCTTTGATGAATAGAAAGTTCAAAAGATCAGCATTTATTTAAAATAGAAATATTCTGTAAAATTATCAGTTTTAAATTTTTTACTGTCACAATTTAATGCATCCTTGCTGAATAAAAGTAATCATTTCTTTAAAAAAAAATAATAATGATAATAATTATGAACCCCACAATTAGTGTTAACATTAGTGTTAATATATGTCTAATTGACTATGAAATATAATTAGAAATTAAAAGAATAAAATATCAAATAATAAAAATATATAGGCTACTATAAAATATATAAAAAAAAAAATACAATTAGAAAATGTTGTTTCGCATTGCATTAATGATAAGATTTTTTGCATTACATTTGTAAGAATTGAAGGGGGAATGCATTTAATTATCATGAAAATAATGTTACAGTGCACACAATCTTAATGGTCCATTAACAGGCGTTTTCTTTTTCAAACAAGGTCTTTCGGATTTCAGGGTGAAACATGAAATGGACTCATTAATGGGTTTCACCTTTATACAACTCCATGTTTTATGATTAGACTCCAAATAACTTGTGCATAACTTGAGTTGGGTGTATGTCTGTGTGTGTTTGTGTACTGTATGTGTGAGATGTTTCTTCTCAGAAGGTTAATGTAATCATGTAGCTGGAGGGCTTTCCATAAGAGTAAAATCTTTACGCTTGTTGGACATTTGTGACAGACAAATATGTTCTGCTTCATTAGATTGAGACAATGAAAGAAGCCCTGTCCTTTTTGTCTCTTTCACCCTCTTACCCTTTTTTCTTCACTTCTCCTTTATCTGCCCTACTCTTTTACTTACCCACATATTTCTGTCATTCGTTTACCATTTCATGCTCTTCTGTTCTATTTCCTGTCCTTTCAGCTTCCCACTTCCTTCTCATCCACCTCCTCCTCCTCCTCCTTGTTTCCTCTTTTGAGGTCGAGTTACTAATTTATCGCAGCATGTTCCTCTGTTATAATATGGTGTGACTACTTGCAAAGTTTTCGAAGCCAGATTTTCAATCCAAGGCTCTTAGCAAAACAACAGTAGCAGTTTGGCTATGGAAAACAGTTTCTTTCTACGTTGATGTTTATTGGGCCGCGGG